GAGAGAGAGAGAGAGAGAGAGAGAGAGAGAGAGAGAGAGAGAGAGAGAGAGAGAGAGAGAGAGAGAGAGAGAGAGAGAGAGAGAGATCTACTGATCGTACGTGTTGATGTTGCCATGAGTGGAGGAACAGCGCTTTGCTTCTGAAAGGCAGCATAGCATTGACTGGTTTAATCCTCCAGTGGACCAGAATGATATTGCGTTTAAGTGTGACATGAACATCGGTGAGGGGTTGGGGGGAGGGAATCGGTAGACATGGTTAAACCACCAGTACTTGCGCCATACATCGGCCGCGGGCCTTCCACGTTAACGCGCCGCATTCTTAGGGGCTCGGGGGAGGGTTGGAAGCGCTATGGGGGAGGAAGGTGGCGGGCCCAGGGAAAACTGCCCAATGGACTCCAGTATGTCCTCTTGGATTTCCGTGCATGTGGAAACATGCACGTCGTTGTGTGCAATGCCATAAAAGAAAAAAGAGAAAAGAAACTTGCAAGGACGTGAAATGGAAAAGGACGAAAAAGAAGAATAAACTAAAAGTACAGTTGGCAGAGCATTTTCATGATAGCACTTCGACATATGTATCTGGATTCAGTTTCAGAGTCTTCAGACTAAAGCCAATGACGTTTTCATTGCTTTCCTTTTCTTTCTTTCTACGGAAGAGAGAATCCGTAGAAAAAAAGAAAAGGGAAGGCAGTTTCTAGGCTGACTCCGCGAGTCCCCGTTAGAAACGGGGAGCATCCAAGTGGCTGACACAAAAGGAATGTTTTAGGCACTTTCCCAAAATGAATGTATCCTCCCTCAATTGTGGGAGAATTCAAGTTCCTGTCATGAATATGAAGGCACTCGCGCTGCACACCATCTTTTCCCGTTTTTGTTTTTGTTTTTTTGCTGCAAAAGAAAGGGAAAAAAAAAGAAGAATCTGGGCTGTATCTCGCGTGCCCCAAAGGGAAGCACTACCCCGAGAATGTACTCTGCCTAAGTTGTGGGCAGATACTCATGAATAGGAAGGAGGAAGTGCAGCCACCTTTTCTGCCGTTCTTTTTTTGTTCTTGCAACTTCTTCTTCTTCTTCTTCTTCTTCTTCTTCTTCTTCTTCTTCTTCTTCTTCTTCTTCTTCTTCTTCTTCTTCTTCTTCTTCTTCTTCTTCTTCT